TCAATAAAAGATAAGGAATTTGCTGCTCATCGAGCAGGAATGCGTGAGAATTCCATGAGAAAACACGTTCTTGTTGCTTCGCCTTGATAAGCCCGTCCTGATCAGCGTCCGACTCCTGCAAAGCAGACCCCAGCTGACCTTATGGCTGTTTTCAAAGATGGGAAACAGTTCTCAGTTAGATGGCCCTTTCAAATATCAAGCTGAAGGTCCTCAATTCAGCTTACAGACCAAATGATAGAAGTCACTGTGGCAATCCCCAACAACTGCATTCAGTACGCAGAGACAGAAGTAAAAGGTGTTTTTATTTGGTGTCTTTTTTTCTCCTTATTTCCCTGTTTTTAATATTTTTAGTTTTTGTTTTTTAGTTTTTCATTTTATTTCTTGTGCATCAGTCTTTTGGTTGTCTATTGTCTTTATTCAGTAGATCTGATCAGTTCCTTTCTGGTTAACTAGCTCAGCTTTCTGCTTACCTTCAGTCACAGTTGCTCTGCATTTTCTCCTGATTAACACTCCTGATTTCCCCATGTCACCTCCACATCTTCCCTAATATATAATCATTTTTCCTCTCACTATTCCCCTCTGGATTCTTGTAAATACCATAACATGCATTTTAAAGCTCCTTGCTGTGCCTGGATACAACTCTGCAGAAAAACTGAAAAAAAAAGAGTAAGGATATGTACAGTAAGCAAACATTTACAAGAGAAAAAAGATTCAGATCAAAAAGTTTTCTAAAACTTAAAAAAGTTCAAATACGGTAGGAGTAAAGTGTGCCATGCTTATGAAGGTGTATGGCATGCAATATTAACATATAGTCGTACCAGACTTGGAGTAAAGCTGGGCATACACTGTAGGATTTTTTTGCCATTTTCAGGCCGATTTTGCAGTTGTGCGAGAATTTTTTCGATCTGGCCGAGTTTCAGCCTGATCACGTGTCGTTTAGTATACATGAGGTAACGAGGGGTGATCAGCCTCCCACGTCCACCTCCCGATCAAGAATCGTAAGGTCGGGAGAAAATCAAACATGTTTGAAATTCAGTCGGCCGTCATAAGTTGGTCGTGGACAAATCCTGCTGTTGAAGCACTATGAGCCGGTTTACCAGAACATCGAGCGCTGCGCATGTGCAAAACTGGGAGTTCTTCTTCTTTCAGATTGATGAGTTCAACCAGCGCCATCTTTGGGTGCTAAGTCAGGTGTGCAGATTTTGGTTGTACAGTTTGAACAGGTAGATCACATCAGATCATCGGGTCGCACAGTGTGAGAACAAACATTGTGAGCTGTGAACGTTTAAACCCTGCGGTTTCATTGTATATTTTGAGCTGTAGCTGCGTGAATATCGCACAGTGTATGTCCGGCTTAACTAAATGTTTTGTCATGTCTACAGCAGTGTTCTTTATGGTTATATCCACATTTTCACTAAACAGACTTAAAATATAAAAAATAACATTTAGGCAAAAATTATTTTATTAAACAAAAATGTTATCCTGAAAATTAATCACAGAAGTTGAGATACTCTAAACTTCTGAAACAATATCTTCTTATTGTAGAAAATTGTATTTCAAATCTACTTTCTTTTTATTAGAAATTTTTAGATATTCAGCAGTGTTGGGAGCTGGAGAAGTTCCACCTTCCTCCAGCAGAGTCCGCCGTGGATCCTCCTGAGCTGAGCTGCCTGCACACCTGTGACTTATCATCTCATCAGGAGGACCACAGTACTTAAGCTGTCTTCAGACCTTGCCTCGACGCCGCAGTGTTTAATCAGTTTGGTTAGCACCTAAGCCTAGAACCTCCTGAGAACTTTGCTAACTCTGAGTCCAGTTTGGATTCTAACCTTTTTGTCTCTCCTTCCAG